GTCTTCCATTGCTCCAAACATAAAAAGTTGAGCAGTTCTGGCCAATGAATGTGACAAAAGCAACTCATTAAGGTAGTGTCTCTCAAAGTATACTCCTTAAGACACTAGTTATCATAGATTTTCACTTTTAAAAATAGTCCCTCAAATAATTTTGGGAAATGCTAGTTTAATCAAAGTTAAACAGATTTCTTTGCCACAATACTTCTTAGAGCCTTAATGATATTCATGTAAGAGAATGCTATATGCAATACAGGATTTCCAAACTTATTTGATCACAGAACCCATCTTTTAAAATGAATCCCAAAGGATGAGTGTTCTGTAGAACATGCTTTGAGAAGCACTGCATTGGGAAGACATTATTCTCTGAGCTTGATAACCAATGGCTGAAACTATAGCACCTCAAAAGTCAGATAATATGAAAGGAAAATAAATAAAAGGCCAAATCTGGTGTGAAGCCTCGAGGTCCTATTAGTTACAGCTAACATTGCTATTTCTTTATCTCATAAAAGTGCTTTTTATGGGAAAAGTTTGATTCATGCTACCTAATATAAAATTATACTACAAGACCATAGTAATCAAAACAGCATGGTACTGACCTAGCCAGTTTGGCCCAGTGGATAGAGTGTCGGCCTGCAGACTGAAGGGTCCCGGGTTCGAGTCTGGTCGGGGGCACATTCCCAAGTTGTGAACTCAGTCCCTGGTGGGGGGCATGCAGGAGGCAGCCGATCAGTGATTCTCTCTCATCATTGATGTTTCTCCCTCTCTCTACCTCTCCCTTCCTCTCCGAAATCAATAAAAATATATTAAAAAATCAAACAGCATGGTACTGGCATAAAAACAGACATATATATCAATGGGACAGAATAGAGAGCCCAGAAATAAACCCACGACTTCATGGTCAATTAATATTTGACCAAGGAGGCAAAAACATACAATGGGCTAAAGACAGTCTATTCAATAAATTGTATTAGGAAAAATGGACAGATACTTAACCCCCCCCCCCCAAAAAAAACAACTAGACTACCTTCTTATAGCACACATAAGAATAAACTCAAAATGGATTAAAGACTTAAATGTTAAATTAGAAACCATAAAAATCCTAGAAGAAAACATTGGCAAGAAAATCTCGGACATTTCTCGTAGAAATTTTTTTCTGATATATTGCCTTAGGCAAGGGAAACAAAAGAAGAAAAAAACAAGTTGGAGTACATCAAACTAAAAAGTTTTTACAAAAGAAAATTATCACCCAGCTGATGTGGCTCAGGGGTTAAGCATCTACTCATGAACCTGGAGGTAGTGTTTTCTTTTCCCTTCCACCAATATGGAATACAGTGTCTATGAAGATGATTATGGCCTAAGAATAACAGAAAAATGAGAAGGATGGTACCTGAATGATGGCCTGGAGGAGAGGCGCTCCAACTTGGATCACTTACCTTAAAACTGCTTGTTACATAAGTCAAATAAACCTCTATCTTTAATGACAGAACTATAATTTTGACTCTCTTAATACAGCAATTTAGCATTTATACTCACTAAGACATAGTGTTAATAATAATAATTTAACATATATGTGTTATATTACAACTTACAATATGCTCACATATACATTATTTTTCTAAACGAGAAATTTTCAACTTTTTAACTTCATGGCACACATAAACTAATTACTAAAATTATGCAGCACATAGAAAAATACTTTTTTTGCCAATCTGATCCCCAAAAAAGGTATAATTTTGATTAATTCATACCAGACAGCTATTGTTGTATTGGCTGTTGCCATTTTTTATTTGAAGATCTAAGAGAAAAGAGGTCAGTGCCCTTGACTAAATCGTCAGGTATTGCATGTTTTAAAAATTCTTTTAGCACACTGGTTGAAAATCTCTGTTCTAAACCTTCCTCATTTTTATTTTGTTCCCTTTTAGTTTTTGCAAGTAGTTATTGTCTGCAAGCATGTTAATCTAAACATTGAAAACAAAGGCTTTATTTGTCTTTCCTTCCTATATAATAAAAGGCTAATATGCAAATCGACTGAACGGCGAAATGACCAGTTGCTATGATGTGCACTGACCACCAGGGGGGCAGATGCTCGACGCAGAAGCTGCCCCCAAGTGGTCAGTGCGCTCAGCCAGAAGCTGAGCTTGTGGCTGGTGAGCTCAGCAGCAGTGGCAGGAGCCTCTCCTGCTTCCACAGCAGCATTAAAGATGTATGATTGACAGGGACCGGGCCTAAACCATCAGTTGGACATCCCCCAAGCACTCCTGGACTGCAAGAGCAGTAATGGCGAACCTTTTGAGCTCAGTGTGTCAGCATTTTGAAAAACCCTAACTTAACTCTGGTGCCGTGTCACATATAGAGATTTTTTGATATTTGCAACCATAGTAAAACAAAGACTTATATTTTTTATATATTTAAATGCCATTTAACAAAGAAAAATCAACCAAAGAATGAGTTCGCGTGTCACCTCTGACACACGTGTCATGGGTTCGCCATCACTGTGCAAGAGGGTGCAGGCTGGGCTGAGGGGACCCCTCCCCCCCGCCCACACCCTGAATGCACGGATTTTGTGCACTGAGCCTCTAGTTATTTCATAATTAAGCTGGGAGGGGAAAAAGAAAACTAAGGCTAATCACAGTTATAATTTTGGGCTCACTGTTATTTTGTCTGTTTTCAAGCTACATGCCACACTGTCTAAAGGAGGTTCCTTTTTGTTAGTTTATATTTTGTTAGTTTATATTTAAACTAACAAAAACCTCCAAATATAAAATTCCCAAAATCCTAATGGTATGATTACAACTGACAGAATTGTATCTTCATGAACTATAGTATCTTTCTATGGAATAAGTGTTAAAGGATATTTATTATTCAAAATAAGTATCTGTATTTTCATGATGACACAGAGTATTTTAACAGTAATTGTTTGACGTGTAATTTTCTGGTGAAACATCCTGCTAAATGAGAGAAAATCAAGTATTTGAAGGTAACTACTGAAATATGTATGTATTATAAATACATCTTATTAAAGAACCGGACAAAATAAAGTATGACTCATTTTTGGTAAACATTTCCTAAATTTTCTTATATTATTATGGGAGTTAACTTCTGGTTTTAATCATGTATATAAGATGAATTACTATTTACTTTCTTCTTAAAGAGAATTATCTGTTTAACAGAAAGGTCTTTAAGATCTAATTAATTATCCTGTACTCTCTTGTCAGTAACTTCAGGAGCCACTGTTAAGGAAACAATTAGACATAATAAAATTTTACCACCCATGTTTCTTGTAGTTGCAATTCATAGTAGATGGTAGAAGTTCAAAGCATTCAAAACATGTTTTTATTATATCCACTTTAGAGGGGTGAAGCAAGAGCTATTAGCAAATGCTAAAGGAATTTGTCATCTAACTTAGAATGGTAAAACTACAAAGAACCTTAGAGCTCCTTCATTTCACAGATGAGGAATCAGAAGTTTGAAAATTATTTTAATTAAAGGAAGCTTCCTGAAGTGGAAAAAAAATTCTTCATGAAATTCTAGATATTGTATAATTCAAATCAAAATCCTTTCACATCATTCTGGAGGGCTGCCCTAACCATCTTTCCGCTTCATACATAGGAAAACTAAGACATAAGCAAGCTAAGCAGTTCACTTACTATCTCTATGAATCAGTGTCATAGCTGGGAATGGAAGCCAAAACTTTAAATGCTGGAACAACCTCCCAAAAGTAGGATGAGCTCATAGGGAATGGATGCTGGCTGCGGGTGAGGGGAAACCATGTTTGGGAACTCCTCACATGGAGTACTCTATTTCACAAGCCCCGTACTTGCTGAAGACTGCAAAATGCTTGCTTATCGATTTGAAATCGTTAAAAACCTCCAAGGACTACAGCATCTCAGATTCCCTACCTTCCTCTAAAAAAAGTGTCCTTGAATCCTAGGAAACTTAAAACGTGCTTTGTATTTGATGCAGTCTTACATGTCCAGCAAGTGCATACAATCTACATTTAGTTTTTATTCACATAACGGAAGGCGCCTTTGTGAAATCCTTCTTTCGGCGTTTCAAGCGAACATTTAGAGTAAGACTACTCATTGGAATCCCTCCTGTTTAGAAACGTATAAAATTCACCTTGGGACGTTATAAATACCAGTACAATAAAGTTCCCGACAGATCTCAGTACGCACACCTTTTCCCCACCAAAGCACCAATGACGATAAACTTGCAAAGAGAACTCAACCCTTTAAAAAATAATAAAACAAAGCAAAAAACCCTGAGCTGTGCCCGTGTCCGGGATGTCACATCTAGTGGTTGTACCAGACGCATTCCCACGGGTCGTGGCCGCTATTTCTGATGATCCCATTCGCGGTTGCGAGGTGCTCAAGCCATTACCGCATCCCTCTCTCCCAGCGATGCTCCGGGAGCTCACGCGGGAGCAACCGCGGGGGGCACTGCTGCTGTGCAGCCCACGGGACCGATCGCGAACTGGGGATTCCCGGGCCGCGCAGAGGGGAAGCGGCTCGGTTAGCGGAGGAAAAGGGGGGCTCCGCGGAGGGGGGCGGCCGGGCGTGTGCAGCAAGGGACGCGGAGTTTGGGGAGAAGGCAGAAGGGGAACCGAAGAGTTGGGGGTCGAAATACCAGCAGGAGCCGAGCGGGTTGGGGAAGAGGGGGGTTCGGTGAGGGTGACCCCGGTTCGGGAGAGTGAATGAATGACTTGGAAGGGGGCGCAGGAAACGGGTGCCAAAGAAAGGCGAGATCGCGGAGGAGGAAGTCGTCCCTGGAAGGGGAGGGGCGAAGGGGAAGCGAGAGTGGAGTGTCTGCACTTTCGAGGGGAAGCGCCAGAGAGCCTCCCCGGACCGGGGCTCCGGCGCCGACGCGGGGGGAAGCTAAGCAGAGCTCCCCCTGTGGGAGTGCACTGACAACCAAGGGGCAGCTCCTGCATTGAGGGTCTGCCCCCTGGTGGTCAGTGTGTGTCATAGTGACCAGTCATTCCCAGTGGTTCTGCTGTTAGCTCGATCTCCAGCAGGCGGGAGAAGAAGTCCACGCCGACGGTGGGGTCGCAGGCGGGAGAGCGCAGCCCCGGGAAGCGGCCCTGGGTGAAGCGGTGCAGGAGGCACGACTTGCCCACCGTGGAGTCC